CAAATCCTGTCCTTATTTTTCTGAGAGGAATTTGGAGACCACGTGTAAATTTCATTCTGACCAGTTTCTTAAGGAAAGAAGGTTTGGTAAGTTATATGGGGGTGGGGAAAAGCCTGTAAAAACTGGACTTCCAATATCCAAGCCATGCCCAGAAGAGAATGTAAAGAGAGATTTGTTGATGTCAAAGGTGTCAGAGCTCTGAGTGCACGTTCCATTCTCCTCCCAAATCATGCTGAGCTCCTATTCACCAATCACTTTTGAACCTGGTCAAAAGCTACACAGTCCCCAGACAAGTAGCTGATGGTACTTGCTAAGAAAAGGTCAATTCCAGGAAAAAGACACTTACCCTGATGTGTAGGCCAGACTGGATGGACCAGCTGCCTTTTCACTGCTGTGCTGCCGGGACACTGTGGCCATCCCCAGCTCCAGAGTTGGTGGTCCAACATCATTCCAGGGTTCCCTCTGCCAGTTTCAGGTCCCCCCTGTTCTTTAGCATCCTAATAAAAGCCCAAATCAAGAAATCCTTCCAATCAATCTACTTTTTAAGACACTTTCAAGGACTGGGAAGTATGCCTCATGTCTGTTAAGCACCATTCATTAGAATCCTTTTCCATATTATCATATTATAGCTAATGGCACAGCCCAACAGCTAAGGCCTCCAAAAAAAGGCCAGAGCTGTGAAGTCAGATTTCCTCCAGCTAACACTTTACATCTCCTCACCAGCATAAATGGACTACCCACAGCCTGGTGGGTAGTCTGGTGTTCTCACAGGAGAGCTATCACAGGCACAGAATGCAGGTCTCCTCGTGAGAAGGACACTCTCCTTTTTCTTCAGAAAGTAAGGTTATTAACAGAATACCTTCCAAATGAGCTTCTGACTTCCTTTTAGCCACCCCACTAAAAATCCACCATGTGTGGGGGAGATGAAAAGGGAGCATAACACGCATTCACTTGCTCACTGTCTCCTGTTAGACCATACGCTGGTTGCACAGAAGATCCCGAAGGCTTTAGGGTTTTCACAAAGGAGAGCTGAGAGCATCTTAGTTCTCTCCCTGAAAACTCAATGTATCTAAGGAAGAGCAAATGTTAAATCATTTAAAGAGAGTTATTTTTCATAGTTTCCAGTACATAAATGTGTTTCAGTACATGTTATTGTAAAATAGTGTTTCTACTTACGTTCTTATACATCTGTTGTTGTGTTTACTCACCCTCTAGTTCTGACTTTTAGAAATAGCAATAAATCTATTTTTTAATCCCCTCTCCTGATGACTGATTATTCATCGTTAGAAGGGATGGAGGGAGGTCCATGTGAGGCGTGATCCACCCTCCAGAACAAGCTCCACTTTTACAAGATAAACAGGGTCCAGGGAGATTCCTCTCCTGTCCTGGGTAGTTTATGCAAACTAAATAAGGAGGTGATGGCAGCTCAAATAAATATAAATTGCCCTCCAGTGGAAACTCGACCACTTGCTATATAGTCAGTTTCAGCAAGGAGGAGCCAATGGTGGTATCAAGGAAAACAATACAATTCATTTGTACACTGTGTGGTGAATGCAAAGATCACAAATGGCTTCATATTGCTAAACCAAAGAAGATGGGAAGAAGAGGAGGGAGAAGGATCAGGGAGAAGGATCAGGGAGAAGGAGGAGGAAGCAGAGCCTTTACTTCTGAGCCCCGGGAAGAGATGAGTTGCCAAAGCAAGTGCCCAGAGGTGTGAAACCAGGATAGGATAGGCTTAAGCTGCTATAACTAGCAATCCCAAATTCTAGCAGCTTAACACAACAATGTTACTTCGTTGCCCTCAGGAAACCCACTGAGAGACAGGGAGCCTCACACACAGCTGTGCTACATTCCCTGTGACTCTGTGATCCAGGCTCTACTGATCTTGTGGCTCCTAAATCTCAACATGGATTTGTATGGGCAGAGGAAGCACAAGCCATGGTCAGCCACTTCACAGGCTCTGGTGTGCTTTTCCCTAGAAGCAGCCCTTTGACCAGGAGAAGACACACCCTCCATATCTGCAGAGGAGCTGGAAACTTGGAAGAAAGAAGGGAGTGTTTGGTGAGTATCACTAGCTCTGCCACTGATGACAAGCCATTTCACAGAAAGTCAATCACCACAGAGCCAAACTAGAAAGGAGAACAGTCACCAAACAGAGCAGCTCATAATAAAAAACCTACAAGCACTGTCTAAATTGCCTAGTGTTATGTTTACATTTTAGTCTCTTCTAAACTGTGATTTGTTTTAACTGGATATCTTGGGCTAAGAGAACAAGAACACTTAATTTACTCATCCATAAAATGGGTATGTTGGTGCCAATCCAACGGGTAATTATAGAGGTAAGACTTCATGTGCTTGTAAACCTCATACTGTGAGTCCACCTGTGGGTTGGTGGAACTAACAACTTACAGCCACTGGCCAGCATTTCAGCATGCTGGGACACACCCTGGTTCAAAGACTAGACTGAGGCATCCAGAGTGCTCACCAAATGGTTTACCCATCTGGTTCTAGTGATGTCTTGCTGGCTGCTTTGGAAATCACCTTTGCTTTTGATACCTTTTATCTTCACATTTGCTTTAACCTCTCTGCCGTGGATATATATACTTCCCCAATTTTTGTATACTAATTCTCACCAAGTTTCAGAAATTTTGAGTTCTGAATGCCTAGATAATTGGCTAGGACTTTATTTTTTTAATGAATTCCAACTCTATCCCAGGATATGTTGCAGCTGGGACTCCCTAGCAGGTTCCTGGATTTGCATAGTTAACCTTGTTAGTTTCCCACAGTGGAAAGTTAATTCTAATGGGTAGATGAAAGGGACGTGAGACCCGACCCAGTTATTTTCCAATGGCCTAATGCCGGTTTGCTTATGGAATTTTGTTGTTGTTTTGGTTAGTCATAGATTGCAAACTACTCTTCCTCAAAGCCTCTTACCAACTCTGGGTCATGTTAGAAATGACCAGTTGCTCACAAACTACCTAGAGACTTAGGAAAAGGAAAAGTATGAGGAATGAGGCTCATTAAGTTCAACAGAGGTGGCACAGCCCAGCAGACGGAAGAATCCTGGCTCTGAATTTGGATTTCAATCTCACTCTGCCATTTGCTACCTTGGCCCTGAGCAGATGGTGTCTTCTCTTTGGCCTCTCCTAGCAGGAAAAAAGGACAATGCAGGAAGGAATCCATAAGATGACAAGCCCAAAACTGTGTCTTGGTGAATACTGGGTGCTCAGCGACATCTACTCAAACCTCTGGCAACATACCCATCAGCAGGCATCCCAAGGATAAGAAGACGGTGCCCATGCAGGTGTCAGGTTAAGCTGGTTTGGGCAGGCATGTGAAAAGTGCCCTTTTAACTCTCTATTGATTAAACGGGGCCATTTCCAGAAAGGAGCCCATGAGAGTCTTCATAGCTTGAATTGTGACCCCCAGAAGCACCCAACATCAGGCCCATACTACCCACCCCCCACAAGTCACAGTCTGGCCTTTGCCATCACCTCCTCCCCCAACATTATGGATTATAAGTTTTATAGAAGTCATGAGTCCGTGCTAAGACAACATGAACCCACACCCCATTCAGTTTTCCTAACTAGTCTGTTGGCTATTTCTACCAAATTACAGAAACACAAAGATAAAATAATTAGAAATGTGCATTTGTCGCTGAAAATCTGGCAAACGGGGCCAATATTTTGCGAGCGGTTTTAATATTAGACTTTTGTGCTTTCCTAAACTAATTTAGTCTACTAATTTTCTATAATTACCTGAATGCTCTTAGCTTCCGCTGGTCAGATGCGTTCTGAGACGCTGATATAACCAGCATTAAAAAGATGCATTTAGCAGCCCGGATTGTTAAAGTAACAAAGCCTATAGAATCCAGAGGTTATTGTATTCTCCCAAAAGTACTTAAATAATAGCCTAAAATCTGAAGAATTACTTTAATACTTCAATAAAAATAACCCAATTCAAAACATTTTCAAGGAAACAGAGTTCTTTGCTCTAGGCTACCGAGTAATGGCTGAGAGAAAGTATATAGGCTGTCACTTCTGATTAGAGAACTGTGCCTCTGTGCTTTGAATGAGGGGCATGTCTGGTAATAGGAAGTGCAGATATTAAAGTTAATAAAATAATGTGGAATACGATCTATATGAAACTTGACCAAGTATAGCACAGAATATAACATACATTACCCTGTTCAGTCAACTCCTGTGGCCCGGCATCTAATGACAAGCTTAATTTCTGTTTCCAATGAGAGTACAGCTAAAAATACAATTTCCAGATTAGACAAATATTTTATCCGACTCCCTAACAAATGTAACCAAGAATGGCTGACATGTCTACACAGATGCCCAGCGACCATGAGAGGGAATTACTAGGATTGCAAACTGCTCAGCCTGAAAAGTCCAAAAAACCTCATCATCTTTGAGGTCATTATAAATAATTAGTTGCATACACAGTGCTGTGGAGGCTTCACCACCAAAAGGGACAGGGGGGCCTCCATTTCTCTCCCACCCTGAGAGGCTCCCAGCTCCCTCTCGGCACAATTAGGCCTCCCCAAACAACTCGACATCAGGGCCCCTGCACACCCATTATTGCATCTTTAATCTAAAGCCCCAACGCCAACTGTAATGGTTTTGTTTTTCGATACATTAACCTTCAACTTGTATTTTCACTATTAAATAACCAGCTTGAGAACCTCCTAGAATTTTTTTTCCCCAGTCACCTACATGAAACCATACAGTACCCAGGATGTGACCCTCTTAAGGGATTTAAAAGCAATTCAATGAGCTAATCTCAGTAAACCTAGAATTAAAGTTCTTGTTTCCATATTTCACTTTCAAAATATTTAGAACTTTGACAGATATGACATTATGTTTTCATTAAAACAGCTGATTTCAAAATGCTGCACTGTGCAGAAACGCCATAAACAGTTTATGATGAACTGCCACGCTCTTAATTAAAACAATAAATCCAGCACACAATATTTGCCCAGCCGCCGGTCTGACCTTTGCCTCTTGCTATCCACCACCAAGCCGCGGTTGCGTTTCCAACGCCAGACATGGAAGGTTTTAAAACATGATCTGAAAGGCACTAAAGATAAAATAAGAGAAAACGTACCATTAGTCTTCGCAGTTATGATTAATTCAGTTCATATTTTACAATCTGGTTATGGAGTAAAACTGCAGACTTTACATCAAGTATTTGCCATTCACTATACCTAATGTATAAAAATGCTTGATATTTTCGAAAATGGCACCAAGCTAATTCACCACACCCCATGAAGGACAGGAATAATCATAAACACGAGAGTGATTAGCTATCCATCCAAAGTGACGAGCAGGACTCACATACCGGATGGGTCAGCCTCAGACGAGAAATATGTCGATTACAGCCCAGGCCCACGCCACCCTAATCTCTGTGCTGCTAGATTTCAGATTAAAATATTTCCTTAAATCTCTTGCATCTGCTGCTGGAGCAGGCAGCAAGGGCATTAATTACTAAGCAGGAATGACAGTAAATTTGTTGTAGTGGTCCAGAGTCACCAAGTTAACCTCGCCCCTGCCAGTTCCAGGGGTAGTTCCAGGAGTAGAGACCGTTCTGAATGGGGTCTCACATACACCCCACTTTGAGATGTCAGTGCATGGTTGGGGGAGTCCATTTTGCAATCTCTGGCTGGAAGGACTGACAGGTAACTTGTACATGGATTCTAGAGACAAGGGCCATACCTGGGGAGGAGTAGAGTCTTCCACACCCCTCTTATGGAAGGAGGTACCTATGCTCCACTGGGGGTGGGGGCTGCAGCCCATCACTGACAGGAGCATATGTCTCCAGGCTTTTCCTCCAGGCCTATACCCCTCCCCCCATCACACATTCATGTGATAAACACATAGAGCAGCTTGTGGACACATACAGAACTGCAGACAGCACAGCCTCTGAGGCTGGGGGCCAAGGGGACAATGAGCTAAACTCAGCTCTACATATCCTTGTCAGAGTTGCAGGCAGAGCCCACTGGGATTCCAGAAATATGGAGGAGAGGGAAGCAATACTGGCTCTCAGACCAGGATCTGGGTCCCTTGTAGGAGGACCAGGTGCCGGGTGTCCACCCCCAACCTTGGCTTAGCTGGCTCTGGCCTTCATCCACCTCTGCAGTCTCATCTTGCCTGTCTTCTTTCCTCTCCAGACACCGCACTACCCAGTTACCCTCAATCCACACAGCACTGGGGACAAGCTCTCACTTGTGCCAGCGCCTTGAGAAGGACCACCACTGTTGCCCCTGCTCCAGAGGCTCCAGGGAGAAGAGCCTAGTAGGCTCCAAGCCTTGTTCCCACCGGGCCCAAAATCATGCTTTGGCCCTAGTTTGGTTGGGGGATTCTGCCCCAGGTATCTGAGCATGGGAGGGAGGGGCAGGAAGGCTGGGTTCTGGGAGTTCCTGAGTATCTTTGCACCAGAGTGCCCATGCCCACCTGGCATTGCCCCAGGACCAGCACCTCCTTCTGCAGGGGCCTCAGTCAGAGCCCACATCCTGTGAGTCAAACATCAGGCTGTGGGGGGGACCCCTCATTTCCCCTTCTTCACAAAAAAGGGTGCCCCAATGGGAGTCAAATCCCCTGTCCCCACACTAGACACTGGGGCCCAAGTCCCTGCAGTGCCATGCTGCATGCCATCCAGCTGTGTAGCCCACATTGAATGACGAAGATCACTCTCATGTGTCTTTGTGGTCACATTGGCCTCTGCCATCTAAGACTAGCACTTTTCAGGAAACTGAGACCCACCGGGAGGAAGTCTCTGTCCTAGAGTTCCCAGCTAGGCACCACAACTTGATGATTCACATCCTCTGCCTTTGAGGTCCGTGCTCCTTCAGAGAATACCTCTGTCCCCCTTTTTGGGCACACTCAGAGACTTTCAACCAAGGCTCACTGAGATGTTCTCAGAGGTCCACAAAGCCCTCCTGTAATTTTTTTTTCCTTTAAATAATTTTAATCAGGGGCCTTCCTGGTGGTGCAGCAGTTGAGTGCAGCACTGTGAAGCTGTCTGCAGCCTCTGCAGCCTGAGTTTGATCCCTGGCCAGAGAGCTGACCCACATGGCGCAGCAGACCTCTCCTGTCTCGCCCACTGCTCCCCTCAGCAGTGCATTTCAGTCAGTCTGCCTGTTCCATTCCCCGTTCTGTCTCTGGTGAATCCTCTCACCCTCTGGCACATCTGGCCTGCACCCTGGTTCTTGTATACACGAATAAATAAATCTTTAAAAATTAATTAATTAATTAAAATATTTTCAATCAGGGAAATGCATCTAAAAGGCACCATGACTATAAACAGGTTCTGGATCATCTGGGTGACTACCCACCAGGGGATTTCCATGCCAAGTTTGTGCAGAGGTGGGGAAGCACCAAAGACTGAGGGGTGTGGGGGGCAGAATGAATGTGCACTGGGATTGAGGGAAGGTCAAATAGAACTATACAAGAACATTCATGGACTCCAATCTCAGAGTGGGAGGGGGAGCATGCACCCCGAAAGAGCAAGCTAGGGCCCATCAGGAGAAGACAAAGGAGAGCTTCTAACATGCCCATATCTTTCTCTATTGAGTCACCACACAGGTCCGGCACGGTACAGGGATCTTTGCTGTCTGGTCTTGGTCTTCTCTCTTCCTTCCTACAGCTGTGGGTCTCTTCCAGCCCCATGCCCTCACTCGGGTCCACGCCCCACGGTGGTGGGGCACAGGCAGACCTTTCAGATCCTGTATTGCTTTGAGGTTTCAGATCCCTCAGATTCTGCAGACTGAATCAATGACCTTTTCTTGTTAATCTCAACAGCTCCTGGAGTATAACTTTCATGTGTTGTTATGCCAATAAATTATCTTTCTTTATTGGCTCTTCAGCAAGTAATGAGGAGGTGAAAGAAGGGAACAAGAAAAGGAAAAATCCCACCTTGTTACCAATGATGGTTCAAACAGAGCAAAATTGGTGGAAAATTTGAATCCACGCTGCCCCCTACACTCCTTCATCCCACACCCAAATATGGCATCTTGTCAATCTAGTAAGGACCTGGATTTTATTTGTGAGTTCTAGACTCATGTTCTAGCTTATGTTTTGGTTTCAGCAAAACAATATCATCCTTTCCGTTAAATGAATGTTGCTATTTTAAATTTTAGTGGTTTTATAATTTTGTAAATGAGACCTGGTTTTATAGTTGTCTAAAAACCGTAAGGGTAAAGAGTGTAAATCTGTTTTTGTAAGGTCTGTAATCAAAAATATTACTACCTTTCTCCGTTGAGTAGCTTGAATATCAAATCATGCAGGGAAAGTGTCTAGTACAGTGCCTGGCATGTGGGATGAATTCAATTAATGTTATCCTATTTTGTTATCATTTTATAATATAGAAAATACAGCCAAAATAACTCAAGTCATTATTATCTGCAGTTTTTTTTTTTCTTAATAAAGTAGATTAGTCAAGCTTGAGGAATGCTGGGCCTAATTGTGTCTTCCCAAAGCTCATATGCTGAAGTCCTAATTCCCAGTACCTCAGAATATGACTGTATTTGGAGGCTTTATAGAGGTAGTTAACTTAAAAATAAGTTCATTGGGGTGGGCCCTCATCCAATATGACTGGTGCCCTTTGAGAAAAGATCAGGACAAATGAGTGGGGAGAGGCCATGACCCAGGCTGACCTGGGCCATGCAGAGAGGAAACCTAACTACCAACACCTTGACCTCACACTTCCAGCCCCCAGAAAAAATAAATTTCTGCTGATGAAACCCCCAGTCTTTGGTATTTGTTTTATTAGCCCAAGCTGACTAATATACCTTAGAACCCCAAAAGTTAAGAACTAACCTGCACTTCCCCATGGTCTACTGTGCCATCCCTTCCACAAGGCAAAACCTGCCCAGTGAATGTGATGGAAGAGGAGGAAGCAAATGGACAGGGGATGTTCAGCCCACATCCCAGCCACCACCCCACCCACTTTCTCTTTAGGCCATGAGACCCCAGAACTGAGCCATGTCTTAACCACCTGGGTCACCCCTGCACACTAGTGTTAGCAGAGGGCAACCCCCACACATTTGCCCCAGGTTGGCACTTCTTGGCTTACACCCCACTATAGCTGTGCCTTCTGGGGGTGCACTGTGTGATGCTGGGGTGCTGGCAAAGGCCCAGGAGCCCCAGGAGCAGCCCAGCATGCTCCTCATTGCTGCCATCCATCCTAGGGGAAGCACCCGCCCCTGCCAGCTGCCCCGCGGCTGAGCCCGGCTCTCTGCAGGGCGGGAAGGTCAGAGACACAGGCAGGATCACAGGACTCAACTTGGCTTTACAGGGGACAAATGGACCATTTCACTTCCCAAATCAGCCTTCCAGGAACACTCCCATTCAGGGCCATAAAAGGTTTAGAACCAAGAACTTTTACGAGGGTTTTTATCTCCGTGAGTGTCTATTGAGTTTTACACCCCTTCAGGGGGCCTGTTGGCTGCGGGCAGAGTAAAAAAAGGCCTTTTATTAAGTGCAGGAAGGAAGGAACAGTCAGAAACGAGTCGAACTCTTCGCCCTCTGGTTTTAAGATAATTCTTTTAAAACCCAGAGTTCACTCCAGCTCCCACCTGAGAGCAGCTGGCGGCTGGAGCGTGGCGCCCTCTGGCGGTTGACGGCGTTGTCATTCTCAGCCTGCCGTCCAGCAGAGGCCTACTGTCCATAGCCCTGACCAGGGCCCAGCTCAGGATCAGGCCTCCAGTGTGGGCGGTGAAGTGCAGGGAGAATGGAGACAACTGAACCAACAAACAGGGTGTGTGTGCCCAGATACCCATGCCCGCAAGGCTCTGGAGCAGTATGGACAGGGAGTCTCCAGGGCCCCCCCACATCTCAACACCTGCCTCCACACATCTACCCTGCACTTAAGGATCTCAACACCAGAGGGTTAGCCTGTGAGCTGAAGACCAACCTTGGGCTCCAGGGTCTTAGGTGCAAGGCGTAATGAGGCAGGGGCAGGCCAAGGGGTCACACCAGGTCTGCAGGCCACTCATCAGAGCAAGGGAGAGCATCCCATCACTGGCAATGCAGGATGGGGAGGCCTTCCTCCAGCTCTAGCCTAGTCACTGGCTTACTGAC